TGATATGCATGATATTCGTACTAATCTATGTAATCTTAAAAAGAAACAACTTAAGTTAGTATATATTAAAGCTATATCTTATATTAATAATTTTAATAGTAGTATAACGACATGTAGATTTCATAAAATTCTTTTAGTTAAAGATTTATCATGGTTTTACCTTACAAGAATGGGTTTAGCGTGTAAGAATAATAGTAAATCAAATTCTTTTATTGTAGTTAATTATGTTAATAAATTTGTCGAGTATATTGATTTTCGAAAGATATTTAAAATGGAACAAGTTACCAAAGCTGCACCATTCAAGTCAAAGTATCATCAGCAACCTACATTGTCCTACAAATACCCTCCAACAATCAGATCTAAAGTACTTAACTACAAAAAAGTATATAATGAAGCTAACATTGACTCAGAAACATTGAAATGTAATTGTGTATCAAGTCGTTATACAGACCCTACTCATAAACATGTCATTACAGGAGAGCTATCAATGATCAGTAATGATAAACTTCGTAATCTCCTAATGAAAGGATTAAATTATAGAGACCAAGCTAAACCATGTACTGAAAAAGCTTTAAAATCAGTAAAGACGGCACTCAAAAGCTATTGCGATAAATTGTCTAATTTATGGCATAAACCTATAGAAGAGTTTCAAGAGTGGAAAACACTAATCATAGAGCAAGTGAAAATTCAACTGCAAGGAGCTAAACCATATCCCTATTATTCAGTATTGTCAGATGTTGGTGTCTTAGCAGATTTAGATGAGCTTCATAAAGATTTTGTATTGGTTCCTACCGACAAAGCCAAAAATAATATTACTATTGTTTGTAAAAAGTTCTATATTAGTATGATTGAAAAGGAATTATCATCGAATACATTTACTAAAGTTAATCGTTCAGAAGATGATATAATTAATGAGCATAAAGCATTCTTACTTAAACATCGTATTAAATTTGATGAAGATAATAGTAAATTACCTTATTTATATATTACACCAAAACAGCATAAAAAGCCAGTCGGAGTTAGATATATAACGTCTGGTAGTGGAAGTAGTTTACAACAATTATCAGTCTATCTTAGCATTTGTATTAAATCTATGCTTCACTCAGCTAAAAATAAATCTATATATGATAATAAATTTCACGTTAGAAATGATTATTTTGTTATTGATAATAATGAACCTATCTTAGATTTTCTTAGTAATGATAATACCCAGAAGGGTTTAAAGTCTGTCAGTACATATGATTTTTCAACTTTATATACATCTATTCCTCATATTCAATTGAAGGATAATCTTCGTATGTTTGTAGAAAGAGTATTTGATTTTAAAGATAAGTCTTATATTATTCCTAATCTTTATACTAAGAAGGCCTATTTCTCTGACAATGTTAGTAAAAATAAAGTTCAGTTTTCTAAAGATACACTTTTGGAATGTCTTAATTATTTGATTGATAATTCTTATGTTACTTATCAGGGTCAAATTTATAGACAAGTTATTGGAATACCAATGGGTACCAATGCAGCACCACAAATAGCTAATGTTTATTTACATGTTTACGAATATAAATATATTAAACTTTTGATAGAAAAAGGGGATACAGAAAATTTAAAAAGATTAAAAGACACATTTCGTTATCAAGATGATTTGATAGTTTTTAATGATTTCAATTTATTACAGAATGTATTAGAAGATATTTATCCTAAGGAAATGATAGTAAATAATACTAATATTTCGGCTCGTAAATGTTGCTATCTAGACTTAAACATTAGTATTTATCAAGGGAAGTTTAGAGTGACATTATATGATAAAAGAAAAGATTATAATTTTAAAGTTATATCTTATCCGTTTTTGGATGGAAACGTTCCAAATAATTTGTCTTATGGAATATTTATTTCTCAATTAGTACGATTAGCCAGAATTAATTCGACACTTAAGGGTTTTAAAAATTGTGTTACCGAACTTTTAGGTAAATTGGTTGCACAAGGATTTAAGTTAGCTGCATTGCGCAACAAGTTTGTCAAGTTTTATAAATCAAGATTAAATATTTGGGGTAAATATGGTAGTGATATTTATGATGAATTTATTGAAATGTTTCAATCACCTAATATTATTTTGTAATTTGTATCGACATATATCGTTTTTCAGTTATGTAAGTTACCTAATATCTATTAATTATTCTAGTATTTGTGATTAATTTGTATTGATTTATTATTTGTGACTTATAAATTAGTAACAATTATATTACCGTCTAAAAAAATTTTTGTCGAAAATTTATTTTATGAAGTCTAAAAAAATTTTTGTCAAAAATTTATTTTATGAAGGAGTAAGTTGTCAAAAGATGCGCATTTGTATATTCATTTATTGCTTGTTTAATTTGTTTTTTGTGTTTAATTTACGATTATTTGTGTTTGAGATTCTGTGATTAAATTTATTTTGTTGATTGTAATGTTGTGATATTGCATAATTTATTGTAAATGTAGCATATGTTTCAGAAAATTATGTAATGTAATGCGATGGAAGTTCTTTAAGCTGGCAATTCCAGTCCAAACCCTGGAAACATGACATAAAAGATTCGGTTTTACTTCTTTGAATGAAAAGCACTAATAAGGTGTACAGTCTTCTAACATAATCGATTTTTCATTAGTCTTTCCAAGGAAATCATAGAATGTTTTTATAGGGAGAATTGGTAAACCAGAGGCCTCACTGCTACTAAGTGTTTCATTGAGCTTAGGGGCAATAGAAACAAAGTAAGAGTTGAATCCATTGGCTATGACTCTACGATTCATGATTCGTTCGTTGTTTATGATAAAGGGAGGCTTAGTTTGCTTCTTTTTCTTGCCCCTGAGCTCATTGATTATCTGCCACGTTTTTTTGCTGTTTTCTATATTTTTATGGATTTCATTGCAGTAGTACGATCGTTTGGCGACCTTGATAATACTTTTAAGCATTCTTCGGTAGTCACTGAAGACTTTATAGAGCAGTACATTACCCTCAGGGTTTCTATTTGTTACAGTGCTTGACCAGTCTCTACAGAGTTCATGTTTTCTTTCAACTGAGACAATGACTCCATCGGTAATCCACGGGTTGAGTTTGGGAGTCCTTTTGGTAACATTTGGTACATCAAGCTTACAGTGTTTATCAAGTGTTTCATTGAAGCAGTCCAAGAACTCATTGAAGTTTACCGAGGGAGTCAAGTCATTCACCTTCACCTCGAGTTCATTAACAAAATTAGTGAGTTTGGAACTTGAATAATCATAGTAGCGAACATGTTTAAGTTTTTCATTACTGTTTTCGGTAGGAATTGACGTGAAGGTGAATATAAAGGCATGGTCACCAATCCTATCATTCAATACACCGGAGAGAAGTACATGATCTATCTCTGATGTGAGGATATTGTCAATACATGAGTTTTTACAGTTAGGACGGAAGTGGGTAGCAAGTGATATAGTAGGATACATATTGTTACGAAGTAACGTGTCCTCAAATAGCTGGCTGGAGGTTTGTACATTGAGGAGGTTAGAGTTAAAATCGCCAAGAATATGGAACTTTTTACCAGCCAACTGCTTAGATATATCCTCAAGAGTTTGACAAAAGGTCTCACTACAGCCATTTGGAGGACGATAAGCAACCCCATATGTCAGTTTATCACCCGAGCTAAGAGTAATTTCAACAAATAAGCACTCAATATCTTTTGTACAGTGAGATAGATTTTCGATTACTACAGCATTCAGGCGATCAGAGACATATAAGGATACTCCTGTTCCTTTTTTCTTATCAGGGAATGGTACTTGACAAAATGTTGTATAGGAGGGGATTTGGTATAAGCCTTGTTGGCTTGGATCGATGTTGGTCTCAGCCAATCCAATGACATCAAAATTACACGGGAGGGTCTTATGTTCTATTAAAAAGCTGTCAAAATTACTAGCAAACCCATCTATATTGCAAAACAGAGCGGGCAGATAAGCAGAATTTTTATTTTTCTCAGGAAAAAGTTTGCTGATTGAGTTTGCTAGTTCTTGTTTTGTGTAACGCTTACAGTCTTCAAGTATTGAAGAGAATTTAGCTATGGTGACATCTTCCTGGTTGTTTGTATCATAGAATTTATCTGAATCATCATATCTTTGGCTGCTTGGAAATGGGCAATACCTATCTTCTATTGTACTACAGCAATCACTGCACATCCATAGACCGTTTTTGCTTGTAAATTTCGCGGATCTGAAGCACTTAGTATGAACAACTTTGCTGCAATTTTCACATTCTAAGAGTGGCTGGCCAATATTAATGTATTTACTACAGGGGTCGCACACATCTTTAATAAGTTTCATAATCATGATAAACTAAGTGGGATAAACTCCCACTGGTCGGGTGGCCTTCCTTTGTCTTACTCCAGCATTGGATATCTCACTTAGAGAAGCATAATTACCCCATTTAACTACTTTAACTAGCTTAGCCGGTTTCTTCTCTAGGGCCTTACAATTCTTACATACCCACATTACTTCTGAGTGTTGCCCAAGTTTTTCAAAAGTTTTTTGTGCATACAACACTTAGCTTAGTATGATATCATTTTTCACAGGGACCATCACACTTAACGCATTCGAAGCCGGTGACATCATGAGAGCATTTACCACATGGATACACAACAGAAGGGGCATCAGGGTTGCTTCCATTTCTGATTGGAGCCTCAACTGGGCTATGATTGTTAGAAGTTCCTACTTCAACAGAATGATATGTTTCTACTACTTTTACTGAGTCTACTACTTGGGATTGAGATTTATTTGACAAGGGTTTTTCTAATCTGACTTGACGTTTAATTGACAAAGGATTTTCTGATCTGACTTGAGTTTTAATTGATAAGGGTTTTTCTGGTCTGATGTGATGTCGAAGTCCGTACCTTGAAGAAGATGTGAATGGTTTCTAGTCATTAGGAATTGAGGAAGACATATTAGGAATTAGAAAGCCGAATTAGGTGACATATTAGGTGACATGAGTTCATTGGACATACCTCAATAAATGTAATAGATTTGTAGGGGTTGTAATTAGTTTAAATCTCATTGCCCCATAAACAGTCCACCCAGAGCCTTCTCTTCATCTGCTCCAAGATTATGGAACAATCTTCCTCAAGAAATCACGAAATGTGTAAACATCAAGGACTTTAAGGGAAAACTTAAAGCTCACCTGTTTATAAAGTCGTTTGATTTGTACTGAGTAACTAATCCTTTATTGAAGGTTAAAATTTATTTAAAATGTAGGTTAAAAATAACAGGTCAATTTCACGCTTTAAATTAAATTATTTTAGGCTATTAGTTTTCAAGGATTTTTGGGCAACATTTAAGATAATAATCTTTTTTTTTGCGTTTCACTGTGTCTGCCAACAAAATTGTAGTGTAGGTCGGAAAAGGAGGCTCTATCCTGGGACACCAACATTTTTTGGGTTGGCACCCGGGAGAAAGCTGCCTCATTCTTTGTATTTTGTCTCAAGTACTAGAGCATCTTTTCTTCTCTTTTTTACTGTCTCTACTTTTATGTTGCCCAGATTGTTTGGTATGACTGTATTGGATTTTCAGATATAATCCTTATCATCAGTTACTGTTCTGCAGTAAACTTCTTCAATCAATTTTTATTGTATATTGGAAACTTCAGATTGTTTGTATATTTGGAGTCTATAGAATTTCTATGGATTTTTTAAGGAATTTTTATTGAGTTTTTATAGAATTTCTAATATATCAGGGAATTCCATTTTTATAAACCTGATTTTTAAATTTGTTAGGCTGTTGAGTTTCATACTGCGATTTCTTGTAGTCATTATCCTTTCCTCTAGTCCTCTGTTAGAAAACCTGCTAACCCTTCTTGGATATCTGCTTGTTAGGTGCATCTGCCTTATTTTACAGTTTTTATCGCCTGTTTTCTGAACAGTTTCTTGTTCCACCTCCGTCTAAGGCAAAGATGCACACTTTCGTTAATTTAAGTGTCATTTACAGCTGTGCATAAGGGTTAAATTTAAATTATTTAACCTTTTGGTGCTGTATAAAAATAACATTAATTTATTATTATTATTATTATAGTGTATGTACATCTTTTGACCATTGTTAATGATCTGGCCCGGCGCGCGCTACTTCGTAGCTCTTGCCATCGAGAAGAAAGCGGCGCGCGCTACTTCGAAGAAATTTAGACGAGTAACATCCGTCAAGTACATTTTACTAGCCAGCTTCTTTACTAGTCTTTCATCTTCACCACCCATTCCGGCATTCCGCCAGACGTTGAGAAAACTAACGGCGTGAAGCTTCCTTTCTCTACTTCCAGGATCCTTGCATGCATTGTAACACCGTTTTTTCTCATTTTGCACGTATGGGGTGACAATTTACAAATCATAGTTAAAGGTTGCAAGCCAACGTTTTGGGTAAATATGCTTTTCACGGAAACAAAAATACATACCGAATACAAGCTTGAGTTGTAATTACCTGGAATTGCCTTCGGCGGCGCGCGCTTTGCGCGCGAAAAGTGGCATGCAACGTATGTCAACTGGAGACCTAAGGCTATATCATAATCATAAACATAGCCTGACGAATTTTAACCCTCTCAAACGCGCAAGTAAGCGCTTTTTTGTAGCGCGATACACTTCTGGGTCGCACCGCGCATCAAATAATTCTTCTCGCAACTTCGGTAGATCGGCAAAATACACCAATGGGCCTCACCGAGCTGCGAAGGATTGTAGCGCGATGCGTTACTGTGCCGCGCCGCGCACTCAATAAGGCTTCTCACAGCGACATCGGCTAGATCGGCGAGATGCGCTATTGTGCCGCGCCGAGCTGCCATGAATTGACATCGTCAATTAAGCGAAGGATTGACATCGTGAGTCAAGCGCATTTAAACGATTTTACATTCAAATAATCATATTTTACAATCTAACTCAGTGCGCGGCTCTTGTAACGTATACGTCACTTCTTTCCAATTAGTAGTTGGAGTGCAACGATTACGTAATTCATAATTGCTGGTCACATGCGCTCTAACATTCGATGAGCATCCGCACTTTTTTCAGGTCGATGGAAATCGTAATTCACTCAGCCCGAATAAAGATTCGACAAAATGACAAGTTGAGCGCAGCTGACAGCTTAGCAAAAGTTGGAAATGGTCGGAAACAATTTGCAATTGTTGTCCACTCACGATTATTTGGAATTGGGCGGATAAAGATTATTAATCGCTCTACACTCAACTCACAACTTGACCATTGTTAATGATCTGGCCCGGCGCGCGCTACTTCGTAGCACTTGCCGAGAAGAAAGCGGCGCGCGCTACTTCGAAGAAATTTAGACGAGTAACATCCGTCAACTCACAACTGTCACGTAACTTTTTTAACCTAACCATGTGCTTTCGCGCCACCCGCCCAAAAAACTTTATTGGTAGGGGCCTAAGTTTGGAAGTAAAAGAAATAAAAGTTTTAGTTTTCAACAGAATGTTCGTCTTGTAAAACTAAATTTAAAGTTAGCTCCCAAGGAGCACAATTTGGGGCAAGGTACAGCTTTGACAGTAGATTTTAAATTATCCTGAAAAGTATGATTTTGGGCTAAATTGAAGATCGCACTTTTTAACTTTGCAAATATAATTAATGTGGCTGCCATGACTCCATGGCTTGACTTGTCATAGTACGTTGTATGACCTGCCGCGCACGAGTGTGCGGCTCCCCTGTATGCTAGGTATCGTTCAAACACTACTATAGTGAAACGACCGTGGGGGTCACGATGTGATACAAGGCTTGACGGATGTTACTCGTCTAAATTTCGTCGAATGTGGCCCAATGGCAAGTGCTACGAAGTAGCGCGCGCCGGGCCAAACCATTAACAATGGTCAACTCCATGGCTGAATTCAAATTTTAATTCATGCGTGCGATCAAAAAACTTTACTGTTTACGTCAAACGCGCTGACACGCGTGCTATTGAAAAATGAACAACTCCATAGTAACATAAAACACTGCCAGCTGGGCGCGAGCTCAAGCTCCGTTTGTTTAAATTAAATTTAAGGTGGTTAACCACCTTTGGCTTTATATTAGTAACACCGCCAGTTTTGATGGGCATATAACGCATGACTTAATTGACGAATGACGAAGTCAATTCATTGCAGCTCGGCGAGGGCCAGTAGCGCAACGCGATATAACGCAAGACTGTCACTGATGACGAAATACCCAATTAGGGCTAGTATAAGCCAAACACAAGGATATTCGTATACGGATCATATTTCCGTTGGAGGACTTCGCCGCTTCGACGCGCCGCGCGAACTAGCATTCTTGCTTCGCATCGAAGTCAATCGTCGTCAATCGTTGCTCTGCTTCGCAGAGCAACGATCTTGGATCTCGACGGATTGACATCGTCAATCAAATATTTCCGTTGCTGTTCGGTCGCCAGACAGGGTCGCTCAACTACAAACTAACATTTGTATCACGTGGTGACCCCCATTGTCGCTTCACTATAGAGTTTCTACGATACAGGGCGAGCCGCGCACTCGTGCGCGGCGGGTCATACAACGTATGACAAACTAACATTAAGTGATCCGGTGAGCCCCATTTGAGCACTTCTTGTCAAATTATTTTTTGAATTACGACCCAATCAGTAACTTTTTTCTTCATGCCGTAAAAAAGATAGACTCAGAGCTAAATTTAAAATTTCTGGTTCTATTTCTGATGAGTTAAAGTTTGTTACTAGCCGTAAAGATTTTAAGAGGCTTTCATCAGCCAAAATAAGAGACAATCTTTTCAATAGTGATGATCCAGCGCTTATAACTAAGAAGTTTTGGTCACATGTTAAGTATAAATCTAACTCTTGCCGTATTCCTAATTGTGTTAGTTATTCTGGACAGCTTCGGTTCAAACCCAAAGCTCAAGCTGAACTTTTCAATTCTTTCTTTTATAACCAGTTTTCGGATCCTTCACTTTATGACACTGACATATCCTATGTCAATGATGTTGATTTTGATATTGACTTCGATCATCGGGATGTTCGTAAGCTTCTTTCAAATATTAATTCAAATAAAGCCCAGGGACCAGATGGCATACACGGTAAAATTCTCAAAAATTGTTCCGTAGGTTTAGCTTACCCTCTAACATGTATTTTTCGTGGATCTTACAACAGCGGCTACATTCCACAAGAATGGAAACTTGCAAATGTTGTCCCAATATTTAAGAAAGGTAAGAAAAGTGAGGTTGAAAACTATAGACCAATATCCCTTACTTGTTTAGTCATGAAAGTTTTTGAGCGCATTGTTAAACGTAAACTGCTTTCTTTGACAAGTACCCTTCTTGATCCCAGGCAGCATGGTTTTCTAGAGCACAAGTCATGCACAACCAATATGGTTGACTTTTGTGATAGCCTGGCATTGTCTCTTAACGAAAACATTATCAATCATGTTGTGTATTTTGATTTTGCTAAGGCATTTGATTCTGTAAATCATGATATCCTTCTTCATAAGCTAAAGACCTTATATAACATTGATGGTACACTTCTCAAATTTCTTACCAATTACCTTCAAGGCCGTTACCAAAGAGTGGTTATTGGTAATGAGATGTCATCTACCCTCTCAGTTAATTCTGGTGTCCCCCAGGGCTCTATTCTTGGTCCCTTACTTTTTGTATTGTTTATCAATGATATTCCTCTTGGCCTTTCGGATAATACTGATATTGTTTTGTATGCCGATGATACAAAAATCTGGCGTAAAATACATTCATCTTCTCAAGAGTATTATACCCAACATTGACCGGCGAACTGATAGCTACTTCAGAAGCAATGAAACTACAATCTTCTAGATAAAATGAGTCATAGTACTTTCAGCCGGAGCCATCATAAGTGACATAAATCTAAAAGATAGTATGGTTAGTTTCTAAATATAAACTCAAACTCTGAAAAGGAAACTGCCGTGAAATATGAAACATCAATAAAAGGACCAATTATTTAAAAAAAAAATTATAATAATTTATGGAAAGCCCCTCAGGCAAAACAAAAATCAATTATGCAATAAAGGAATCTTAAAAGGGTTTGTA